AGCTCTCTCAGCCCCACCGACCTCACAGGGTGTCTGTTGTGCGGAGGGGAAGGGAAAGGAGCTTGTAAGACGCTCTGAGACACCTTCGGGTAGTGAAGGGCGGGGTATACAGATCCAATCTCCTCTTCTTCTTCCTTCTCTCCTCCTTGCAGGCCGGGGTGTCCTTTGAAGAGGTGGCCGTGTACTTCACCCGGGGGGAGTGGGCCCTGCTGCGCCCGGCCCAGAGAGCGCTCTACAAGGAGGTCATGCTGGAGAACTTTGGGAACGTGGCCGCTCTGAGTGGTGAGGAGGAGCCCTCTCTCTTTCCTTCTGTGAGGAGTTGACAATAAGGAAGCCATTGAGGAGGAAGGACGTGTTCAGGCTGCCTGCCCTGGTCCCAACGGCTGGTCTCTGCCTCCCTCCCAGGGCTCTACTGGTAGCAGGAGCTCCTTTGCATATTAGGCCACACACACCTAGTGTAGCCAATCCTCCAAGAGTTTACAGAGCTCTTCTTACTGGGGCTACTGTAAGCTCTTGGAGGATTGGCTACACTAGGGGGTATGGCCTAATATGCAAAGGAGCTCCTGCTACCAGTACAGCCCTGTGAGTCCCCTCTAATGAGGGAAGGGTCCTGTGCTCTCCTTGCAGAGAGGCGGTCTGCATGTCCCCGTATCCATGCTCCTGCAGAGTCTCAGGATAACAAAAGGGGGGTGAGTCTTGACCCCAAACTGTACTCCATCCCACCCCTATTACTTGCCTGCAGTGCTCCCTCTAAGCTGTGGAGTCTTGTGAGCAAAAATTCTACTTTGTGAGCTACTGGGCATTAAAGTGGTGAGCGAGCGATTGGGCTGCTGCATAAATTAGTTTGCTCTGGAGCCCTCCCCTTCCTGAGCGAAGACAAAAAGGTGTGAGCCGGAGGCTAAAAAAAACTGTGAGCTAGCTCACACTGACTCAGCTTAGAGGGAACACTGCTTGCCTGTCGTGCGTTTCTGGAGGGACAGTCGATCTGGCTTGGAATTGTTGAATATATGGGCACACAGAAGAGGTCTAATGTTGTGGGTTTCCCCCCTAATAAATAGGCCCTCAGATTGCCAAACCGGGCCTCATATCCAGGCTGGAAGAAGAGGAAGGGCTGTTTCTCCTGGGCTCAGATGAAGAGGAGGGATTGGCAGGTAAGAGCCGAAGATCTCTCCCTTGAGATGGAGTATCGTCTGCGCTTTTTTGGAATGGCTGCTGAATTCCTATAGCCTCATTTCTTCCTGTCCGCTTTCTTCGTTGTCCAACTCTCTCTCACACACACACCCGTACATAGTGATGGGGAATACTATGGCCTGACGTAACCCCATCTTGGCCACCAGCAACACATCTTTTCTAGCTCCTTCATGGCTGCTCTTCCCAGCTTCAACCTCCTTCTGATTTCCTGGGCGCAGTCTCCCTTTGCGTCGATGAGGGAACCAAGGAGTAGCTGAATTGGTTCAAGACCTGATTTCAGGTTTTTGAGGGGTTTCTTTTGGCTTGTGTTCTCATGCCAAGTATGGTAAAATGACAGAGAAGGAGGGATTTATTTCGTTCATCCTGTCCTTACTGGGAGGCGGTGAGGAATTGGCTTCTTCCCAATCCTCTTCCCTCTCCATTCTTTTTACAGCTGGAGTTTACTCTCTGTTGCCCCCGTCTGGCTTAAATTAGACTTGCAGACTATCAGCCACACTGTAAAAGAACCGGCCAACAGAGTGGCATCCCGTCCACTAGGTGGCCCTAAGCGATTGCCTAAGAGGGGCCAGCTGTGGAAGGGTGCCAGTCCGCTCTATCGTCCTCCCGGCCTCTTACTCTGCCACTGTCCTTAGCCTGGCTGCCCACCAGGACATTCAAGCATAGGGAAACTCAGAAAGGGGGGAAAAAACACATCCCTCTTTCATAGAATCATAGAATGTTAGAGTTGGAAGGGGCCTTGCAGGTCATCTAGTCCAACCCCCTGCACTCTGCAGGAGCACAGCTGAAAGATAGCCCTACATACCTACAACATACCCGAAACAACATACCATTGGCCCTCCAGAGAAAATGGTTGGCCACAATGTGAGACAAGATGTTGGACTAGATGGACCACTGGTCTGATCCATCAGGGCTCTTCTTATGTTCTTCTGGCCACTACCGATGGTCACATATAGCTCTTGGCTAAAACCAGTTCATCATTAACAACCAGTCCTGGGCAACGATACACCTCTCTCACAGGCACTGGGAAGCAAACCATTTTCCTGCCCCTTAACTTTAAATATCTTCTAATCCAGAACAAACCCTTCCTAACATGGACACAGAATCTGAGACCGGGGCCTGCAACAAACTCTGTCCCCATGTTCACTCGGGCAACACAATCACAAGACCGAACAACACCAGCCATACCATCTAAGCTTCATTCACTTATCTTCCAAGGTTGTGTATGCCACTAAATGTCAGCAGTGGTCTTCCATTCTGTTTGTCGGACACAAAAGAATAAATGGACCTGAGAGAGACATTCCTTAAACAGAGAGGTTTCAAGGAGAAATTAAAATGCATGATTGCTGAACTTTAGTTCATTCACAAATTCAGAACAATGGACCCCCCCAGGGCTGAACTGGGACCTATGATTCTTATCTCACTGATGCTAACTTTACACCCTGAAGCATTTCTCATTTGGTATAATCTAGCTGGTTACAATGTGATTGCTAAACATACAAGGGTACAGCAAAATAAAGATGACAACTACAAAAAGATTGCTGTAAGGCAGATATCTTTAAAACAGAAACCTCTGAAACTAATTTACCAAAGGGGCACTTTAAGTGCAGGAGATCTGCTGCGTGCCCATTTATGGAGGAAACAGCTGTGATCAATTTCCCGGAGGCCAACATCCACAAGCCTGTAGAACACTTTACTTCATGTTCATCGAGATCTATTGTGTACTTGATTTCCTGCCCTTGGGGGTTAAAATACATAGGACAGACCTCCCGTGCTCTCAGGACTCGTATCCTGGAACACAGGTCTAAAATTAAACATGGATGTGTCACAGCACCCATGGTACAGCATTACATTGAGGCGGGACATAAAGCTGGAGATAATGAACTTAAATGTATAGTATTGGAAGCTGTTTGGTTTAAACAATACAATCTGGGGGATACACGCAAAATGCTATTACAGAAAGAGGCTCAATGGATTTTCAAATTACAAACAGTAGCTCCTAGAGGACTTAATGCGGAATTAGATCTTACATGTTTCCTGGGGGAGTAAGCTTAGATAACAACACTTCCTAGCTACTCAATAGGCTTGTTCTCTTGCTCCTAATTCTTTTATAATCATGTAAATTTCACTTAATGGAGGTGATTCTCTGGTTTGGTATAGACTGCTTTTATTATGCTCATTATGCTCTTCAGTCAGACTAGAGAAAGTGATAAGTTGGCTTCTTAAAGCTCTTTTGAATATGTACTGTAACCTTTACCAAGATGCTCTTCAGTCAGACTAGAGAAAGTGATAAGTTGGCTTCTTAAAGCTCTTTTGAATATGTACTGTAACCTTTACCAAGATTTCAAGTCATGTGACTTAATGACTACATATAATGTCTGCTTACCATGGGTAGTTAAGACATTGTTTGTCTGGGAATTGAGACTTATAGAGCTATTCATAGCCAGAATGGTAAGAGGCATATTTGCACATTAGTAATATTTAGAAAATTCTAATCTTTGTATAGTAGTTCTAATTTTTATACAGTTGTTCTAATAGTATATATGGTTTAATAACCTTGGCCTCATTATATTTATTTATAGATAACGAGGTTTATACTAATGAGATTGTTGCGTGAGATAAAAACATCTTGACACCGTATGTATATAAATTTAAAAATATTTATTTATTGTATGACCAATGTCGGGTTTCTGATTCTCCAATATGAATGTTGCTTGTTCTTTGTGATAGGATTTTTGACAAAGACTTTGAAACGAACTTGCAAGAACTCGAGCTGTTCGTCATTTCACCTAATTTCACCTAAGTGCACCTATGGAATAAAGAAGAGAAATTACTTTAGCTTTTGTATAAAATCTTTCTTTGTTCTATGATTATGTGAACTCCTTACAGCAATCTTTTTGTAGTTGTCATCTTACAATGTGATTGCTACCTCTGCATCCTGAGTTCTTTTTTGGAACACCCCTCCCACCCTCCCACAGGGAAATAAAGACTGAGATATTTCCATTCTGAACTAAATATGCTGAAGGCAGCCTTGGCTCCAAAAGCTTCTGTCTGGAAAACCTTGTTAGTCTTTAAATGCTACTGGACTCAAAATAAGATATTTGTGAA